ATCTGGTACGTCTGGTCGCACACGCTTCACTTATCCGGAGCATGATATGGTATCACTGATACCTCATGTTGAAGTGCTGTAGATGGCCCTAGTTCAATATATGGCTTGATCGTCATGAGTCACGCTATGATTAAGCATGTAGTCCAGTAGTCAGGATATCTATTGGTTTTGCTCAGTTTCTATGAACCGTGTGGCAATGTGGAAAATGACGTACGAGGTGGTAAAATATGGACGGTAGAACACTACATCAACACACTTTATTGACATAGTGTGATACATCATCGGAAGCACATCTTCACTGAAAATTCTCGAGGTTTTAGGGTTGTATAATGTTTGTGACGGATTCCACATTTCTACGGTTGAACTGAATCTCCTATTGCGGTTCTCGTACGAGCCAGTTGCCTCGCGAAAGCCGCCTCCATTCCCCCTCACTGATATCTCCTTTGAGGGATAGATCCGTGATTCGCGGATCGCCAGTACTTGTCATTGGGAGCCTCTCTGCCACGTTATTTCGTGAGCTCCACTAAAAAGGTTTGAAATATCATATCCGATGGCACACACCATAAGTGAATTGATCACTGACGAGCCATCAAAACTCCCGGACTGAGGACGATCCTCTTGCTATTCCCTCGTGGTATTCGTGAAGAAAGGTATAACAAACTCTCAGCACAACTCGTCAAGACTAACGCTGACACTTAGTGAGCAAAATTGGGGACCAGTTGATATCTAGACGTACAAATTACAGAAGACAGGAGAGAAAGCAGAGTGTGCTGAGCCGGCTGCTTCTAGCCACCCATAACTTCAGTTGTTACATCAAACAGAATGATCGCCATGAGCAAACCTGTTGAAAATCTGTTCAAGGGTCGTCTGAGATAATTGGAAATCGTTGAAGCAAAGTTCTTCTTTTATATTTGAATCGGACAACTTAGAAAAAACTTCACCGAGACTAATGGTACGAGGCAAACTGAATTCCCCGATTTCCCCGACACTTTCACATTCGGGAGATATATGGGAATGCATCCAGTGGAGAGCCCTAACGTGCAAAGCTCCACTCATCACCGCCGCGGACAATGACGAAATAGTAAATATACGTTTATTATCATACTCATTCAAGGTACCGGTGGTCATGATACTCTGGATGACACGAGGTTCCGTTATTCCTGACAAGATCACAATCCCCAAGACAAATGTTCCGGGCGTGCGCGACTTACCGAGTAGGCTGAGAGACGTCGTCAACTCCTCATCGGTCAATGTCAATCTTTGTGAGTTGTCTTTCTCCACGGCTTCCTTCAGGACAGGGAACTTTCTGAGGAGCTCAGCACTCGCAGCAGGCGATAGCTCTGTGAAAGATATCCACAATTTAAACCCTTGACCGTAGTCCGTCTTTATCTGTTGGGATGATCCAATACAGCGGAATTGACCATCAACCTACGACAGAGAATAACAAAACCTATGCTTACCAGTGACGAACGAAACTCACTTGGATGACCATAGTTTCGCACAGAGCATCAGCCTCTTCCATACTATGCGTCGTGAGCACAACTGCAGAAGACTTCGCCCGCCCGTGAGCTATCTTGTGAATAACATCCCAAATGCGCCTGCAGACGACTCAGGGTACCGCACGGGAGACCGTCAGACGAGCTACCTTCTTGCATCCGGATCAACACCAGTCGTCGGCTCATCGAGGAACACCACAGAAGGCTGTCCCACCAGGGCGATGCCAACGCATAGCTTACGTTGGTTACCACCAGAGAGCCTTGTTGCCATTTTGGCAGCGTAGCGCCTACAGAGGGGTGAAAACCTCCTCGCCTATTGTCCACCTCCGGACTTCCCGGATACGGGCAATGAGCTTACTCTAGTTGAAGGATCCCTAACAGTTCTATGACATGATCCTTCAATACAGCCGACGACACTCCACGAATTCGGCCATATCTAACACACGGAAATCACAAGGGGGTCGATCGACGACCAGCTATTGACAGTTATTACAACATGAGATGCTCCTCAGTGGTGAGCCCTTCCAACAAAGGACTATCCTGTGGGCAATATCCGATATTCTGGCGAACCTAGACAATATGGATGGTCAGTTGCTCATATGATGTGATTATTACCTCATAGACGTTCCCGAGCAGTGGCTGACCAATGAGACTGATATGACCAGAACTTGGTCTTATCAAACCGCAAAGCATTCTGAAGGTAGTGGTCTTGCCGGCACCATTAACTCCGAGCAGGCCGAACACTCCGCCATCAGCTAAAGCGTAATTGATACCCCTCACTGCCCATACCTGACACATTCTGATAATACTCTCATACATTTCTTATCAGTGGACTTGCCTCATTTTTCTTTCCCGGATAGAAGACTTTCTTGAGATCCTTAAAGTAGATCATTTGAGTCGTAGGATCGAGCTTCGATACTCTGTCCTTCTCCGCTATCACTCTCTCATCCTCTACACCAAGCTTCTCCGAGGGTACAGACAGATCACGGTCAGGATTCCACTTATCGTCGTTCTTCTTGTAGTCGATTAGAATGGTGAGACCGAAGTATATCACACCGAAGAGGAAGAGCATGATGACATCATCTCCCGCAACTCCAAGGCATGTGTCGTAGATCTTATCATCGAGACCTTTCAGCCGCACTTCACTACACGTATTCAGCATTTGCGAGTCGAACGCATTAGTCCTCACAGCACCGCCCGACGGCCTACTCAAGAAGCCCAGGTAAGTGAAGAAGAGGGTAGTCAGAGCCTGAGCCACCGGGAATGTCGGCACCATCCTCAGTATCCACGTGAGAGCCAGTCCAAGCTCCGGAGCAACTACGCCGAAATACAAAATGGCTACCACAAATGACCCAATAAGGCCACCTCCGACACCAGATGCGACCTGGATGTAAGTCGCTATGGTATTAGTACGTGAGAGCAGGGAGACCAGGTAGTTGAACGGTGGCATGGCGAAACAGAAACCAATGAGCAACACCCATACGGCGACCATATTGCTGGGATCGAGATATGCTTCTATATCAAAGATAGCCAGGGGTATCCATGTCGGACATATAGCAATGAAGGTGATGAAAAAGTCAAAGATCCAACTGGTCACCCAATACGTGAGCAGGCCACATCCACTCACATACAATTGCTCCTTGATGCCTTTCGTTTTCTCCATCATAACATATGATAGCAACGAGCCAGAAATGACCGTGAGAGCTATAGCGAAGTAACCCCCAACTGCCAGAGTGAGAACAATGTTACTCCGGGACTTGCTGTTCTGGTAGGCCGTATGTGGGAAGGGGAAATTGACCACACCAGGGGCTTCACTACCAGCCAGCGCAAATGGCACCATGTGGAGTGCCGTCATATCGGCGAATACAGACCGCGAAGTGACGCCGAGTGCAGTCACCTCGAACCATGCCGTGTCCTCCCCAAGCAATGAGGCAGAGAATCTCAGAATACCCGCGCATAGATTGAAGTTAGACGACACATTCGTGAGCGGAATCATCTCGTACGGCCTCCATTGAGAACAAACCTGGAACTCCTCTGACGTAAGGGGAGTGGCCGAGTTGATGTCCGGCAAGTCCACCGAGCCTCTCTGCACTGTAACCACATCTGGGTTCATCAGATCCCACCGCCCTATGATGTGGTCCTGCTGGGAGATACCGTAAGGTGTACCGCCACTCCATCTCAAAGCCAAGCTGCGGGCATCGGGCACAGACACACCTAGATACTGCAAACCCATAAGGATGAGTATGACCAGGAATGGAATCGTCAGCGCCGCGAGAGTCCCAGGCCAGTTCCTCCAGGCGTATTTCACACGCCTGGTCATGAGGCCGAAGAACTGCTGCATCGGGTGAGGCTTCACCGGTACATCATGCATAACACTCTTATCTTCATTGGTATACGTACGACTCCTCAATCTAGACAGCTGCTCATCATCACCGTGAGAACGTCGGGCAACCTGCGATAACCATACCCAGTCGACACTTCATGAGGGGCTCACATTCAGGAAGACATCTTCCATTGTGGTCACAGATATGCCGTAAGAGCTTATCTCGCCTTCCGACTTGAACACATTCAGAGCATCAAAAACGGACGGTAGATTGGGGGCATTCTCGAACGGAATCTGAGGTTCAAAGTTGTGAATTGATGGGTATTGGAGGCGAAGATGGGCAGATGGAAATACCTGTAGGGCGAGTTCCTGACCAGCACTTGACCGTACACGCACGGAGGACGGGTCGTCGGTATTCTCCCGGACAGCATCGATAAGAGGATCATCAGGTGTAGTGGAGTCCTTCTTGGCGATGCTTAGTGTATAGCCGGCACCTAGATATCGCAATGAAGGCAGTAAGGGGGTGATCGCCAAATTGACCCACCAAATTGCTGCTTGAGGAAGCTGGTGGTGCCATAGGCCGTCAGTTTACCATTCTCCATTATACCAACTCGATCTGCTAACACATCCGCCTCGTCCATGTAGTGCGTAGTGATGCAGAGAATTCTTCCTTCACGTTTTGATCTCAGGAAATCCCACATTCTACGCCGGGCACTCGGGTCCATACCGCTGCTCGGCTCATCCAATATGACCAACTTCGAGTCGCCAACGAAGGCCAACCCAACCGATAGTTTCCTCTTCATGCCGCCTAACGGAACGACTAGACAGAAACGCGATAAGAGTTACGGGGCCTACCTGACAATGTCTTTACTCGTGCTCCGAACTTATGACCGAGTTCCATCTCAGTCGCGAAATCCAGAGCGTACTTGTCTCTCGACAAACCCCGGATGTTGGCGAAGAGTTCGAAATGCTCCGACACTGTTAAATCGTCCCACAGGACATTGTTCTGTGGGCAAACACCCATACTCCTTCTGATAATGGGCATCTCCGTTGGCACCTCTCTATTGAAAATAGTTACATCCTGACACACAACATTAATATCCCATACATTCCCAACACCACCCTTACTCCGCTCTTTGGTCTTATCATTCCGCTGAGGACATTGATAGTCGTAGACTTGCCAGCACCATTATGACCAAGGAGGACGAATAGTTCATCTCGATACATAGTGAGATCTAGGCCGTCCACTGCATGTACGTTGCCAAAATCAACCTGAATGAACCCTATAATGAAGATACAGTGCCTCCTCCAGCCCTACCTTGAGATCTCTTATCCGTACCACCTGTCCATCGTGTTCGAGTTTCCCTTGCAACTCACCCTTGAGCCTTTCTATACCCTCAGCCATGGTAACACTACTCGACTCGGAATGCACAATATCAGTCGCCTCCCCTCGAGAAGGGACTTCCTCATCTTTACCAAACATTTCCCGCAAGAACCCACGAGTGAACAAGAAGTAGAATCTACGAGTTGCTCGATACTCGTGAGGAACGACTTGGTCCAGATAGAGATACAACAACGTCCACAATATGAAGTCCACGATCAGTATCACCAATCCTTGTAGCAGGGTGAAGTTCTGATATGCTAAAGTTGCCGACGGAGTTTCCAGACCCAGGAATAGCTGTTGGCCAAGATTCTGCACGATCAGAGTGAATGCGCATTGTGGCAGTAGACTGATCGCCCATTTGCTCGTTTCACGGTCGATCACAGATACGGAGATAGCAACAACATAGTAGATGACCGCAGTTAACGTCGATCCCGAATTGGGGTTCTCGAAGAGCGTCGAGATGGCAAAGGCGAACGACAATGAGCCGAAGAAGTACAGTAGTGACAAGATGAAGAGCCAAAGCGCGCTGACTATCGGGAGAACGATCAACGATAGCGCTGCCACGACGATAGAGAATACAAAATAAAAAGTTACATACCATAAATACCACGACACGTTGTATGGGAAATCATAGAGACCCATTATGCGCATACCTACGAGTAATCTCACCTACACTGCAAAGATTAGAAATCAAACTCACCTTCCCGCAGTCTGCCCTTCCTCTCTGAAATGAGCTTTCTTGCAACAGAGAAAGCAGAAAAAGTATATAGAAAAGGACCAAGGACATTTCCCAACAGCTTGAGATCACTGCCCGAGCTCCGAGTGCTGTAAGCATTATAGGGCACAGGATAGAGGCCAGCTATAGGCCTATGTTCTCCACGTTGGAAATCCATATATGCTCCGAAGAACGCTGGGAAGTTCAAAGCACTATAGTAAATCAGGCCGTTCTCATCAGGGTCACCATGCTGTATGTCACCGTTTTCGCCATACCAGAATTTGTTGTTCTCACTATAGTCGATACTGATAGCGCTAAACTGACGGCGATCCCCGATAGTAGCATTACCCATTATTAGCAACTCCGATGGGTTGGACACATCCATGTACCCACAGAGCAGGGGAGCACTACTCGAACCATAGTCTGAACTCCTCACGTATTCACTGGGATCGTCAATTGAGGTTGTGATGGTTATGATGGGAGACCTTTTACACTGCGGCAAGCGAATCCCTTTAAAGACAGCGTTGAATTCTCCGTTGAGATAAGCGGCGAATTCCTCAGCCTCGCGCGAGCCAGCAGGACCAATTGCCAATCGCTGGCAGGCACATGTTAATAGCATTAGGACAGAGTTGGACTTGTTGAACATGTCATCGAAAGGCGTCACAGCTGCGAACTGTGGGAACTTGTCGTAAACTTTTCTCAAACCAGATGCGTAAAAGAACGAACCATTTCTAACACCGGTATTCAGGTTGTACGGGTACGGTGCTTCGGGCTGAAGGGAGAAGGATGAAACGAATCTAAAGTGACCAAGCCGAGCTTACAATAGTCCGCAAGTCTCGAGAACCAGGATTCACCAGAGGTGCGACAACGAAGGTAATCACTGCGACAAAGAGCGGCAATAGAATTTCGCAGCATACGGTAATCTTGGATCTTCGGGAAAGGATGAAATTCTTCTTCGTTAGGGCGAGTACCTGAACCACTAGACTGTATTAACTGTAGTATTACCCGTGATTGGTGATTCAACGACTCGCACACGAGTTGCGGAAGGAGGTTACTAATCTCGTATGACAACAGACTAGTGCATCATCATGGTATGGATGACCATGTTTATAGCCTCTATAGTGAACAGTGCCTACAAACCTTACTTGTTTCCGTAGAAGTCCACGAGTATGGCTCGGATCAGCTACTGGGGATGTTGCTATGGACATGTACCGAGGGGTCAACTAAAATGAAGACCGCTCGTGCATATATTCACGACTGCTCTGTGACTAAACACGTCCTACCTGGTAGATTATACGAAACACAAGTAAAACGTTCAACCAATCACACACAGATTTAGAGCCTCATCTTCAAACTTCGATCTCCCTCTATCAGTAATGTGCGAGCCCGACGTCACAATTTCGAGTAGCACGCATGTACATGGACGCACGCGTGCACATTTCCTATCAGCGCTTGTAATTTGCAGACGTTAAGTCTTTTCGAACTTATCCCGAATGGAGCATACGACCGTTCGACAGACAACAGATGAGGCACGATTGGCTGCTCAAAAATCAGCACTGCCGAAGATCCCGCACACACCACACGAACACGCAAACGTGCAACTAGCGTAGTGGTTCAAGATGAACTACCCCTGGCACCTCCCTCCGGACTCTCCCCTGATCCTCTTGCATTAGCTTCGTGTTTCAGCCCAAGTGTTATTAGCACTGTGTTAAGGAAAATTCACAAGATGCAGAACGGAGTTACCCAACGACGGAAATGCTAGAATTATGTGGTTAGGTTTCTAAGTTTTTCGAGGCAGTAGGTGAGTTGAACGTACTATGTTCTACTATACTACGTTCTCAAGGATTCACTTGATATTACGCTAAAGCTCGTTCTAGAGACCTTGACATACGAAAAATAGAGCAGTCACGATCTGCAGAGATCTGTGGGTGTTGTTCTCTGGTTGCGTGTGGATGATTCCACAGAATGCACCAATGCTGTGCATCATACTGTGTGTTATATGCTGTATTCCGGCATTAGTTGCGGATTATGCCACTTTAGCTGAGTCACTCTGTGTGCACCACTGTGACTCTAGCATTCCCGCTCGTCTATTCAGTGTAAGTAGCTGAGAATGGTTATCTTTTCACTCTTGATGTTACTCGTTCTTCAACTGGTTTTTATTTACGTGGCATTGTCGTGGTGTAAGTGAATGATAAGGATTCTACGAGTTGGCGACTCGCATTGAAGCACTCTCTTCCATGTCAAACTTGCATGTGTATTGTCAAACTTGATATATATCGTATATTGCGGTATATTGTATATTGTCAATCTTGATTGTGGTATATTCTGGTAGTGTCAAACATGAATTCTTAGTGTCAAACTTGGTTGTAACAAAGTTGACAAGTGACAAACTTGAATTTTCATACTCAAGCTTGACTGTAACGTGATTAGATTGTGACACTTGAATTCTCAAAGTCATACTTGATTGTAACATAATCGAATTGTGACAAACTTGAATTCCCAAGGTCAAACTTGCTTGTAACAACGTCATTCTTGACTGCTCACTTGTCAAACCTGCAGCATGGGAAAAGGTGTAGCCATGTCCTTACAGAGTTGCACGCGAATACGATGGGGTTTCTGCGCCTTCGGTTACGCACTACTTGGAACTCAACTCTGGGACTCAACAGGTCCTTTAAATATGCAAGCAATATCTTTTTCAAGTCCTCAGTAAGTTTTGTGGAACTTGCTTGGTTTTAACTTGAAAACAGGTTTCAAATTAGGAGAGGTCCTCTCCTAACGTCGCTCCTGAGACTTAGTTTCCTTACAGTTGAGTCTAATTCAAATAAACCTTTTCGGGTGACGCGATCCATTTTTGTGTGACCGAGAGCGAGCCTTGACGCGGTCACGCGTAGACTGTCTACCTTTGAGCAAGAAAGACATTGTTCGATGGTTGAACTTCAACCTGTACCATGTATTGCTCGTTCATGAGGACAGATGCAATTTCAGGCTGAGAGACGTGTGAAACGTTCCCAGAGGATTGAGTTTTGTGAGGCGAAGGTTTCCACCTCAAGATTCGTCATTCTTGAGGGGTTAGTGAGATAGACCCCATGTTCCTCTGAGCTAGATGGCATCAGATGAGAGCCAGGTATACTGGAGTGATCGTACCTAGAGCAGCATTGTCTTTACATTCGTCGTCATGCTATGGCTCTGGATGATATTCTCAGACGAGGGCCATCTCCGCGTGCCGACATTCAAGAACCATATGATCCAAAACAACGACTTCACCAAAGTCATTTTAGATGAGGAACACTTACCGCCGTATCAACGTCTGAACTGGTAGGAAGCCGTTGCAAAGATGCTCCCGAATCTATCTGTATAATTACCGTATCGCGTTGAACGAAAGTTGTCCG